AGCATAGACAAGCTCTTCTCTTGGATAATTTTGCACTTGTGGATGGGCTTGCTCCTGGACGCTCGCTTCGTGACAGAAAACCCGTCACTTATACATTTGGTATGCAAATTTTTGTTTCGTTTTCGTTCTTCCATTTTCTTGTAGCTATTATTTTTGTGTGAGGTGAAGAATCTGTGGAGAGAAGTGCAGAATAAGTGACTTTCATAGCTATTATTTTTCGTTTGCTATCAACACGAGCAGTTCAGTGCTTATGGCATCTCTACTTCCTCTAAGATGTCATAGATTTGAGACCTCCACCTCATATCAATAAGTAATTCTGCAATCTCTCGTAGAAACGATTAACATTTGCATTATAATTGAATGTTAAAATCATCTTGCAGATGATTATGACCGATCGATCAACGAGGCTATCAAGACGACCAAGTATGAATTTAGTATCTACATGATCATCTTTCTAGGCCATATATAATATCTTTATCTTGCATTACCTTATTCTTACTCTTATCTCAGGCGTAAGGCGCCATCCCCAGAACCTCATGATAGAAAAGAAGATGTTGTAAAGCTTGAACCTTCTGCGAATGGAAAATGGAGCGGTCCGTCATATGCATCTCAAAACTCCAATTTCAGTGCACTATCTCCCAAGTCACCTGATTACGACGATGCCGATGAAGACCATATGTCCGAACAGTTGGATCGCAGGTATAGAAAACGTGAACTATGTGTTTCTCTTACCTTCAAGTATTTTCAGATTCTTATTTATTGATCGAACATTTAGCAATAGACGGAGACAAAGGCCACAACGGTATTCAGAAAAGGATTATGTGGAAGCGTTATCAGATAACGATGCAGACTTCGACAGTGACGATGACATAGTTGGTGAAGCTGTGTATGATGAGGAGTATCTACGAAAATGCAAGCAGAGGAGGAAAACATCCAGCAGTTCCGAAGGAGACGAGGAGTATCACTATGAAGAAGATAACGAGGAAGAGGAGGAGGAAGAGGAAGAAGAATCCTTTAGCATTAGTGATGACAGCGACCGGCCACGAAAAGTAAAAAGAATGCGAGGACGTACGCGGAGGGGAACGAAGCTACGGTCTGTTGGTGAGATTCAATCAGGTCTGAGACGTAGTAAAAGGGCTACTCGAAGCAAAATAAATTATGGGCAGTACGATCTTTCAGAATCTGAACCAGAGAATAACAATGATAAAAAGACTAGTGCATCAGATGAGCACACTGATGCTAGTGAGAACGGGGATTATTCGGTTGAAAGTCGAGGGTCTGATAACGAGGACGACAAAGAAGAAGAGAAGGACCAAGAAATGAAAGTTGATCAACCTGATGAAGAAGATTATGCGGAGAACGTAGAGGAGCAAAATCCTCCTCCCGAAAGATCGAATGGCCCAGATCAAGATGAAACCGATGACGCAAGAAAAACACAGTTTCTTGATCTAAATGAACTTGCTCCAGGCTCTGGTTTCGACGATGCCCCGACCACAGACATGAAAGATGATTCGGATGAGTCGTAGTATCGTTCATTTTTCTTGGTTAATAGCAACCGCTATAGTTTTCCCCCGTCGTCGAATTTGAGTGTACGATAGTAAACTATAAATTTTGTGGTAAGGCTGCAGAAGATATTAGCGTCGGAGTTGTTCCCTAGGCGAAATCAAGCAGTCGCGTAAAGGATGATGATGATAATGATGATGAGTCGATAGGATAGATTAGAGAGGCCATTTTTTTAGTAATGTCCACATTGAATGAAAACCCAACAATAGATGGGGAAGGCGAATTTGTTTGGTGTTTCTATTGTTTTACCCATCCCTGTACAATAACCTTTTCACTAATATTGTAACCCAAAGAGTTGGCTTTTAGATGTATAACCTCTATCTATTCTGCTACACATATTGTTCATGCAGCCATCCTCCCTCAAATCATTACCTTATTCTTCTTCTTCTTCTTCTTCTTCTTCTTCTTCTTCTTCTTCTTCTTCGTATGATTAGGTTGTGTGCTAGCTAGCTAGGTCACTGAGCCGAGAGTGGACATCGAGCGGTGTGCCAAGGAGGATGTTAAACCTTGAAGGGGTAGACACCGAACGGTGTGTCAGTAAAGACGTTAGGCCCTAAAGAGGATGGATTACGAGATCCTATTAATTTTGAATAATTAAAAATGTTTTAAATTAATTTTAATTCACCAAAAATAATTTTAACTATTCGAGTCGCTGCCATAGGGACACTTTTCTTCGGTTCTTTCTTTTTGGGATAAAAGGGTTTCGCTTATTTATGACTTTGGTTTAGTGAAAACTTGTAAATTTATGAAATCGGAGGGAGGTCGCAAACGGGATCCGACGCCGAGCAGCACGGCTCGAGAAGAATCCATGGTGGCCATTTCCCTTTACAGAGGGAACCTCCACAGGGTCCCCGATGTTCCTCGTCGGTGGCTTATGCCCACCCACAACATCTCTGTTAGAGACTTCAAATCCCTTTTGCAGCGTCGTTCGAAAGCCCTCTCTCGTCTCCTCGCCACCACCTCTTCTTCGCCGGCCAAAGTTTCTACTTCCCCTGACCCTAATCGTAATTCCAATTCTTCAATTAAACCAGACGGCGAAGGACCCAGAACTAACGGGTCTGCGCCTGAGGTTCCATTGGAAACTGAAAGGGTTAGTGTTGGCGGTGAAAGACCTTCTGCGGAGGTCAAGGAGAGGAAGAAGTCGGACAATGGTGATGACTGTATGGCAAAATCGGCTGATGGGTTTGATTCTGTGAATGGCTCGAGACCTTGTTTTAACGAGCAAGGTTCTGATCCAGTGGAAAATGGTGGTGCGCATGCAAAAGATGAAAATCCTGCTGTATTAGAAAACCCTAACAAAGAGGTATTGATTATGACCAACTCTTTAGATTTTCATTTTGTTTCTTTTTTGTTGCTATTTCATTTTGTATATATTCTGTGTTTGAAATCCCATTGGTCTAACCTATTCCAATTTAATGTCCGGTTGAGATAGTTTATTTGGTTCTTTCTGAATTTAGGTGCGGTTGTGATTAGGTTCAACAAAATGTTTACTTGGAGAGTTATTTCTGTAACATCCACAGTTATCAACTTATTCTACAGAATTGGAAAATGAAGGATGACTACTTAACGAGGCTTTCAGAAATTTAGGAATGTTTTGAGATAACTAATGCAAATTGTTGCTAAGGTTGTAAATTTTTTAGAGCCTTCTTTCCTGTTGATAGAAGAATGATAAGAACAATTGAAGTAAAATAAAGATTGTGGCATACTTAAAAAGAGTTCTTGTTGTCTTTAACGGTGGCATTGAAGGAAGAACTTTCAAGCTTGTTGTCGATATGGATCTCAAGCCTCAACAGAGCACTCGGATTTTTCTTTTCCTTCTCTTTTTTTTTCAGCATTTCTTTCTTTTTGCATTCTTCATTAGTATGTATTACTGTGCTAGACAAACAAGGAGGAAGATTTGTTGGATGACAAGGAGAACAGGAAAAGGGAAGTCGAGGAGAAGTTAAACGTTTTGAATGAAAAGAAGCATAATCTTGTGCAAGTGTTAAAACAGGTATATTCTTGATCCTTTCACCTTACCTCCTCGCTCTTGCCCCCTCCCTTCTGCGCTAAAATAAAACCCCATACGTTCCTATGGGATTGGGAAGTGAACTAGATCATGTTCTTGGTGTTGGTTGGCAGATCTTGCATGTGGAAGAAGAATTAAAAAGGCGTAGTAGTGTGCAAGGGACAGCAATTCGCCCTTCTGCTTCCCTTCAAGTGGATGCCTCAGCCGATACAGGATCAATGACCAGGCAGCTTGCTCCTAGAGTAGGCTCTGAAGTGAATGCTAGTGGAGATACTGAAGGTGGAGAAGCTGATGACCTTTTGAACCATAATGTTCTTTCTCGTCAGATGCTTCAGAATAGCAGTATGTCACCTTCTTCAGAGTCTCCTCTTAGAAGGCCTGCCCACATCCAATCATATATGGTAATTGCTGTCACATGATTTGTGTGAATTTAGTTGAGTTATATATGAGCACTATACTTGTTATATTTACTTTATTTGGGTGATTAGGGATACATAAATGACATTCAATAGTGCCTTGAGAATTCATTGTGATTGCTTGTCTGTGGAACTTCTTTCGTTTTCCTATCAAAATTGCATAAAAGTATCAGTTTTCGGAGTTCTTGGTGGTTCTTTAGTGGGTTGGGTATGTAGTCAACATCGATGTCCACTGAGAAAATGTATCAGAATTTTAAATTGTACCATTTCCTTTTGTTTATGCTTGATGTTAAAATCAGGCATACATGCATCTGTTTTTATCATTTTACTAGTGAAGTGAGTGAGACGAAGATAAAATAACATTACATGTGCAGAGCTCACATCCATCCCGAGGAAATTTTAGCGTATCTGGGAGTCCATCGTGCCTTCCTCCGACTGGGCAATCAGGGCTTCCCCCAAACCTGCCCACAGTGTCTGTATCTGGAACCAATTACATTGCATCTTCACCTTCTCCTGCAGCATCTGGGGGCACCTCAGTTCTCAGAGATGCCCGGCAGCCTAGCCCATGGAATTAGAGGTCGTCTCTGTAATATGCATTGATGAGTTCGTTGTGATTCTCGACTTTCCTGGTTCAGCAAAGCAAAGTGAGTTCTAAGACTAGTTTCATGATGTATAGCTATAGTCTTGTGAAAATTAGGTTTGATGATTGTACCCAGCTGCATGTTGATATTTGGGATAACTCTTAGTGTCGTCCTACAAATGTTCTTGCATTCTTGTTCAGTACATCAGTTGTGCAAAACTGGAAAAGAGATAAACGAGTTAACTTTGTATACATTAGGAATTTCAGTAGGACTGTATGACCTTTGTCTCAACCATACTTGTTCATGTTGCCGTTTAGATTGAAGCTGAGCCATTTTTGGAAGATTTGATATTGTCCTCTTTGGAGTTTTCCTTTCGGGCTTTCCATCTACTACGAAAAGGTTTCCACACCTTTATAAATAATGTTTCGTTCTTCTCCTCAACCGATGTGGGATTTCACAATCCATCTCCCTTCCTTCGGGGCTCAGCGTCGCGTCGCTGGCACACCTCCCGATGTCTAGCTTTAATACCATTTATAACAAGCCAAGCCCGATTGCATTTTCAAAATCTTGAAGAGGAGTTTGAAAGGAAAAACCCAAGGAAGACAATATTATAGGCGGTTAGATTAAAAGCTAAGAGAGTGCATTTTCAAAACCTTGAAAAGGAGCTTAAAAGGAAAAACCGAGGAGACCAATGTTTTAGGCGATGGGAATTGCATTTCATGCAAATGGTTTCAAGTTAGAAATTAGTAAATTTTATCTGACATCGTAAGAACCACTTTAGATGGGTGACGGGCCATCATTGATCCTTAAACGTTCATACTTCTCTATGAGATTCAGTAAGGAAAAAGGAATACTGATGAGATCTCACAGGTCTTTATCTTAAACATGCCATCTCAAACGGTGTTGCCTCCCTTGTAAATTTATTAAGTTGGTTAAAAATAGGAATATTGAAGCGATAGAGATTCGAAACCGAGACTGGAAAAGAGTACAGAAACAACAATAAAGTAAGTGGTCAAAGGCCTGTGTCTGTACGTAGAAGCAAGTTAGATTGACCATCAGCAGTCCATATGTAACCCACATGACAACACACCCACCCACCTCCATCATATCTCACAAATCCATGGCTTCCCATCAAACTTCACACCAGCGCCTCTTATCACCTCCGCCTAAAATGGATCTCCACCGTAGAACCCAACCCACCACCCCCGCCGCCGCCACCACTGTCTCTCCACACCCAACATCACCAAAACTAGATCCCATAACCCCTTTATCCGACTCAGACAACTTGTCAAAATCACACCCACCTTCTCCAAAAGTCGTTCCTGTTTCTCTTCACTCCAACCCCAAAATGGTCGGCCCCAGAACAGTCCATAAACAAGCCAAAAAACCCAACGAAACCCCTCGCCAGCACTCCACCACTGAGAAATTCAATGATTCTGAAGAGAAATTCGAACGCATGATCAACTGTATCACCACCAAAGAAAGGGAAATGAAACAGCTCCTAGTAGACCACCAACATCTCACTCGCAGGCTCTCTGTTTCTTTGTCTTCTTCACGGAGTGGAAGAAGAAAATCTATCTGTGGCTCACAGATTCAGCTAGCAGAGTTGTTCGCCAACAATGGGGTCAAAGTGGTTTCCGCCGATATGCCGCCATTTATGCAGATCCACGCCGTCGATTGCGCTAGAAAGGCCCACGACAGTATGGAAAAATTCACTTCCAAATCGCTGGCGTTGAGTCTCAAACAGGTAGATAGAAATCGATTAGTTTCTCTCTCTAAACTTCTGTTCTTTGTTTCTCTGAATTGGATCATGGGTTTGTTTGTTAGTTCAAAATGGTGATTTGGGTTGGCTGGTTTTTGCAGGAATTCGATGGGGCATACGGGCCGGCATGGCATTGTATTGTTGGGAAGAGTTTTGGATCATTTGTGACACATTCAGTGGGTGGATTCCTGTATTTTTCCCTGGCTCAAAAGCTTTACATTCTGCTCTTCAAAACCACTGTACTAAGAGCCAATTAGAAATAATACTGAATCACTGACCACGTTTTGTTCCAACAATCTTCATATTATCTTCTTTTGTTTAGTTACAATTTCGCCATTGATGTTCATAATTGAGAGCTTGTGTTGGTCTGAAACCTCCATATCTGTTCGGAAGCCAACTGGGAATGGAAGTTCATGGCTTCCCCGCGGGTCCTATCCCCGTGAGAACGGTCATCATCTACCGGGGGTTAACTGCATTTCCAGATGATAATGATTGCAGAGGCGATGACCCACATTGTTCACTTTTGGGGTTTGGATTTATATCCTCTGCGACACAAGGATGTGCACATTATAGCTCAGCCCAAAGAAAATGGATACCAACAAAGAAGACAGTGACCCTACTTAATGAGTTTTGACAGTGCCTATTCCCAGAGCTGGTCTCTACGGTACCCTCTAATTATTCACACCCTTAATCTGTGGAATTGGGCTGAGCCTGAGGCCGTACAGTTACTACTGAACTTCAGCCCAATTCCAATATCAAGGTGGGCCCAACTACGGTTTTGGGCCTGGATGTTTCAACCCGGCCCAGATACCCTGGTTGGTGCTTGGAGTGAGATGAAAATGGGGTGAGAAGTAGCAGACAACTTAACTTAGGTTTGATGGAGAAAGATAACTAACCAATCAAAAGCTTACATTTTTTGTTACATGAAATTGGAAGTTTCTAAATGGAAAACAAGTGCAAAACCAACTTCCTGACTTTGGTCTAAAATTTAAAGTACATTATTATTATCTTGTTCCATTTGGAATGATATCGTCTTACCTAAACATTAACTTAAAAGCGTTTATTAAAGATATTTAACTTAATCAAAGTCGGGTTAAAAATTATTTAACTCTCTACGGTATGTTAGTGAATTTTGATAAAATTATAATGATGGTCAAAATTTTATGGAGATGAATATAAGACTATGATTACCGTCTCCATTGGTACAAAAACCTTACTACGAATAAAGACTAAATTTGAAATAATAGAAAAACAAGAAATTGGATTGGTGTCCTTTGATTAGCTTTGGTAAGAGGATGAGGGCTGACCTTGTGGATGACCTCCCGAAAAGGTCAAGACCGAACTTGAAGAAGGCACATGTCAAATGTAGTCCTAGCTTACGTGATCTTAGTTTGGCTCGACCCATTCCTCTTTTGACCTAATTCGATAAGAAATTGACAAAAACTCCTAATTCAAGATGACAAAAGTAATAAATCCTTCCTCATTCATAAAATCTTAACTACACGGGGAAAAATTATACTAACTTAAGCATCAGAGCTAGTGTGACAAGTGCAAGCACTACACTCTCGTGCAAATCCCTTTTGTTTTAAACAAAATTTTGGCAACAACAGATCTCATGCTAGTATGTTTGCTTAAAGAACGATGATTCGGGTCGATTTTTATTTGTTATATTTATTAAATCTAGCGATCTAAATTTATAGAAAAATATTACCGATTAGAGTTGGAAGACGAGTTTTTAGTGTTATAGAAAGAAAAAGAGAGGAGTGGTCACCATCAAGAGGAAAAGAGAGGGCAATGAAGCTGAAAAAGGGAAGTGGGGGTAAGAAACCAAGGAAAGATGAAAAGACCCTTTATGAGTATCAATTACTTAGTGTGCCTCAAAACTCATTTTTGTGCCAACCAAGTTAGGCTTTGACAGTGCCCCTTCCCTCCTAACTTTGCACCCTCCAATTTCTTTTCAGATATAGTTAGGTAACTTATCGATATTTCTCAATCTTGAAAGCTATCTCGACACGTTTATAAGGAGGACAAACGTCTTGTCCTTGCAACACTCATTCAAATAGACCACATATTACAATGGTAGTTTCTAGATTTTCAATATTAACCTAAACACAATCCAAACTCAACCCAAAATCAAAGTTTGGCCCGTCTGTCTCGACCCATCTTATTTATTAATTAGATTAAAGATAGATCACTATTTTGAAAATGGAGTTAACCCCGAGAGATACATTTTATATATTAAAACAATTAGTTTTAAATTTTTTTTTAAATATATTTCTTTAATTTGTAAAAGAAAAAAAATTAAAAAGTAATGAAAATATCAAAATTAACTAGCCAAACCTAAATATTGACGGCTCGGTCTTGATTGTTATCGGTCAGGCCAATGATGTGGGTGACCACAAACTACTCCATAAATAAGCTCTCCGCCACCTACACTCCACTCAAATTCGGTAACTCGTAATACATAGCTTAAAGCTCTTCGCTTCCTTTGTCTGGGGTTCCACATTGACATCGGATTTTCCCAATTTCCTGCCGGTGGGTTATTCGGGTCGCTGGAAATGGATCCTCCACTCGTCAATGAATCTTCCTTCTCCGCTGCCAATCCTTCTGCTTACAGCTTGGCCGCGATTTGGCCTTTCGGAGGGGAGCCGGGTGGGAGCACATTGGGACTTCGAATGGCTAATTTGGGTCAGATTCTTGGCGGGTTTCCAGAGAGCTCCACGAATCGCGATGGATCAATGGAGGAATCCACAGTGACGGAGCAGAGTGGCGGTGGGAGGAAGAGGAAGGATGTGAGCTCCGAGGATGAATCTTCCAGAATGGTTTCCACTAGTAGTGCGAATCAATTGGTTAGTGCTTTGATTTCTGTACTTCTTGGCTCTCAATCTGGCTACGTTGACTCAGTTTTGGTCTCCTTAGGCAAAAATGACATCACTCAAATTTGTACAGTGTATTTTCACCTTTGAAAGGTGAAACTCATTTCCTTTCCTATTTTGAAGGGGAGGAGGTTCCAAGGAATAGGAAACAACGCATAATCTTTATAAACCATTCCTATTGTTGCTCTGTGCAAAGATTATCAAGAAACTTGCCCAGTGATGCATTTAGATATCTAAATCTTGGACGGCTGATCATATATTTCAACTCTGGCTAGCTACATTAAAGCACTTTTTCATGATTTCTGTACTTTCAATTTCCTACAGAATAACTCAAAGGGTAAACGAATGAAAGTAGTGGAATCCAGGGATGAAAATGGTGATATAAAAGCTGAAGTGGAATCTAGCTCAGGAGATGGTAAGAAGGCGGCTGAGCAAAGCCCGAAACCTTCTGAACCACCAAAAGATTACATCCATGTGAGAGCGAGAAGGGGCCAAGCTACTGATAGCCATAGTTTAGCAGAAAGAGTAATGTACTTTTCTCAGTTATTGGGGATTTGAATATCTCAATCATTTATCAGACAGTTATTAGCAGTCTGACTAGCAGCTTCAAGTTTCTGGTGGATATTTGGAAAGCTTATCTATCCATTTTCCCTTTCGCCCAAATTTCTTCCTGTTGTCTTACTATCCCGTTTGTGCAGGCAAGAAGAGAGAAGATCAGTGAGAGAATGAAAATGTTGCAAGACTTAGTTCCAGGTTGTAACAAGGTACGCGTTATCTCTTATTTTGTCTGCAAGCAATGATTCGGCTGAAATTGTAAAAACAACCCTGTACTATAAGAGTAGGTACAATTTGATTTTCAAACTTTTCACTTTGGTCAATTTTAAAGCCAGACATATTACTGCAATGTAGTTAGTGCTACTTTGACTGTTTAACACCTGGAAGATTATTGGTGTTGGTGGATGTTAGGTACCCAAACACATAAAACCCTAGAAACTAATATATTACAATATCAAGAGAAACTATTATATAACAATAGCATTTTGAGAGGGTTATCGCTCTCCCAAATCCCACTCTGAACTATTCCGCTAAAAAAAAAATGGTAATCAGCCCAAACCCACCGCTAGCGGATATTGTCCTTTTAAGCTTTCCCTTTTGAGTTTTCCCTAAAGACTTTTTAAAATGCGTCTACTAGGGAGAAGTTTTCATACCCTTATAAGGAATGCTTCATTCCCCTCTTCGGATCTCACGATCCACCTCCCTTGGGGGCCAGCATCCTCGCGGGCACACTGCCCGGTAACTGGCTCGGCCATTTATAGCCCATTGCTAGCAGATACTGTCCTTTTTGGGCTCTTTCTTTCGAGTTTTCCCTCAAGGTTCTTGAAACGCTTCTATTTTAGGGAGAGGTTTTCACACCCTTATAAGGAATGTTTCGTTCCCCTCTCTAACTCTAACCGATGTGGGATCTCACAAAAATCCACCCCTCTAAGGTCCCTAATACTACTTATATTCCCAACATAACTCCTCTTAGTACTGTCACAGAGGATCTTGTGTGGGAAGAGGACTTCACTTTCTCTTCTCTTTTCAGGTTCTCTCTCAGTGTGCAGCTCTTAAAACTGAAAAGGGAAAAAAAATTGCTAAATTTAATAGATCTGAGATGTAGAAGGCAGAGTGAAGGGATTGGTCAATTTTACTCCCAAACATGAACTATAGTTTCAACATGGGCCTCTCCGTTATATCAACTAGCTTTCCTTCAAATACGTTACATCCTTGGTTCTTTCTATAACTGAGAAGTCAGAGAGAGAAACTCTGTAAGAAGAGAAGAAAGCAGAGAGGTTGGGAGTTCAAGAGAAGGAAAGAAACGAGAACAACAGCATGAGATAAAGAAAGCCACCGAGATGAATAGATATGGATAAAGGAAAACTTGGAGAGAGTTTTCAATTGGAGTGGTCTGTGAAGATCAAGAGAATAACACTAGAACAAAGCTCTAATCTATGAAGTTTCATTAATCTTACTCCATGAAAAAGGGCAAAGTTAATTAAGGTTGTAAAATTTTCTGTTTTCTTTCTAGTTCTTAGAGTTGGATATATGAATCTTGAGTTTGGTTGCAATCCTTTTGAAAATCAAGTTCAAATTATAACTTTTCATTTGTATTTCCCGTGCATATGCATGTATTAGGTCATTGGAAAAGCACTTGTCCTTGACGAGATAATAAATTATATCCAATCATTGCAACGTCAGGTCGAGGTACTTATTCTAATCGATTGGTTAAGCATGTTGTTTCAAAAAAAAATAATCTGATTCAATCTGAGCTTTGGATATTTTGCTCAAACTTGTAGTTCCTCTCCATGAAGCTTGAAACTGTGAATTCCATGATGAAAATAAGCCCTGGCATAGAAGGTTTTACCGCAAAAAATGTAAGTAATATTCAGAAACTCTCTAACGAGGGGGGAAAAAAAGAAGGAAGATTCGGATATGCTAACCATCTCATCTGACATTTCAGATTGTTAATCAACCATATGATGCAGCAGCTGGAATATTATATGGTTCACAAACTGCAAGAGAATATAGCCAAGGTGCACAACCTGAATGGTTGCATATGCAGATCGGTGGAAGTTTTGAAAGAACATCTTAGAACTTAATAGGCATCTTCTTATAACCAAAGGTCAAAATTATTTTGGCTTCCTCATTTAGTTCACAGTAGGTCTATTATATATGTTTGATCATTTGGTATCAAATACTTGTATTCTCTGCAGAAACTGAACCTACTTCCAATTTGTATCTTACTGAGTAGTAATTTGAACTCAACATTCTAAGCTTCCTTTACTGCGTTCTTCAAATTCAGAGTTCCTTCTTTTCTGGGGGCATTACTTTACAGATTGTTTCGAAAATTAGGAAGTTCTGATTAACCATAACGCTATGATCAGAGTGGTTTTCGAGTGTATTTTCTTTTAATCAAACTACGAAAGTTTGCTGCTGCCATGAATGGACTTGATGAATCTAAGGCTGTGTTCTTTCTGATTATTTGATTATTTGAAGTGTAATGAAATGATACACATCGTTATATCATCTTCGACACTTTATGGGACGGATGAAAGGGAAAGTATCAGTAACAAATGAACTACATAAATTATTATCACATGACTGCCTTCTAAGCAGTAAAGGTCATTCTCTATATAGGAATGTGACTGAGATTACTAATGGCAAGGAAGAAAAGAACGCAACCAGTAGATAAGTGGGCAAATTGAGAATGAAACTAGGCAAACTTGGACTTTATGCTGTTGATAACATCATCATCGACTTGGAAGGTCTTGGTCAGAATTTGATTGGGAATTGGAGGATTTGAAGCGAATAAAGTTCGAGAGACGATCACAGCCCCGGGCAACTGACTGTTGAAAGCTGTGAGCAGACTTGCTTTGCTATGTCCAACATTATACTGGAAATGAACAAGTCCTCTGGGAATGACAAACATCTGCCCTACAGTCAAAACCTTGTAAAAATACACATTACTTGTTGACACAAACCCAACAAGAACCTTCCCTTTAATAACGACAATGCTTTCGGTGGCACGAGGATGCGAGTGAGGTGCATTTATTCCTCTAGGAGCAAGATCGACACGGTTCATGGATATCCCAAGCGTATTGAGTCCTGGAAATGAAAGAACATTTCCTTGTGCAACAGCAAAACCGAAAGGATTGTCTGTGTTGCCCTCTTTGCTCAATCCATCAAAGAAGAAATCATCTGAAGTAACTTCTGCAACTGGCTTGCAAGGGAAGCCATTAAGAGATACAGTAGCATTTAAATCAGCAACACAGAAGTCCTGCAACGGATCAGGATCAGCTGACAAAGAATGATAAGGAAGAAGCAACAATATAATGAAGCAACCAAGCATGTTCAAAGGTGAGCTTGTCAAAGCAATCATGGTGCCCAAGCAGTTTAGTCCCAGAAAGAGAATTAGCTCAAGCTTGCTAATGGAGATAGTTTAAGAGTGTTACAGAGTCCTCTTAAATACTTTTCCTGGATTACCTGTCTCCTTCAACTCTTCTTTCTCAAGCAATATGTCAATGGAAAAATTATTATGATATGGACATAATCTGTGTTGGGGAGCCTTCCAAGCTGACCTTACAAATAATAAAAGCTTAAAACTAAGATTAACAGAGTCTTAATCCAGAAAAATCCAGAGTGTTAGTTGGGTTTGGACAAGGATAAAGAAATAGGCGTTGGGATTTGATTCAGTCTCATATTCAGCATTGACCTGGTAAGATCCTAACTTTTTTACTCCTCCTTTTCCAAGTTTTTCCCTAAAAAGGACACCAATTTTCTTCCCTAACCCCTTTTTTTTATTACAACAGCCCAACCTCTCTTTAATGACAGAACATGATCATTAGCTTGACATAAGTGATTACAAAGAAAGAGCTGATATTTTAAGCAGTAGCACAGGAAGATTTCCCAGGGGCCAGGTCAACGTGATTAAATTTCACGAGTGTTGCTATCAAGGTTCAAAGCCAATTGGTTCACGAATTGGAAAAAATCAATCATATGGGGTAAAGCTCTATAAAATAATCATGACAAACCTATAAACAATCACTCAATGAACGTAATAATAGTTAACATTTGTTCACTAGACATATTTAATTATCTTCCTTTGAAAGATGCACAACAAATAATTATTGACCATGTAAGATGCGTGTGATTAAAACTCTCTCTTTAAAAATATAATAGAATTACAAGTCAAATTAATGAAATAATCAAGTGGTAAGAAATAATCTTTCTGACTTAAAAAATGGTTAAGATTTAAAAATTGTTTTCTTCCAAAGTAAAACCTTACCAAACAAAAAATATTGCGTGTGTAAATCTCGAAAAGGAATTCAAAACAAATACGCTTTTTAAATGAGTATTAAAATAACCATGTCTAACAAATAACCAAGTCTAAAGTTGAAAAGTTCTGAGTTCTAAAACAATGTATTCAGATTGTACCAGAGAATACGTTATAAAGATTCGGCTTCTACTCGTATTTGGTAGGTGGCTCAAGCTATAAAGGCCATGAACGCTTACTGTGTAACATGAAATCGACGCATTCATAATCTGAACTAAGTAAATCTACTCACCAACTATCAAACATGGGCTCCTTTTTACTCTGGAATTGCACAAATGATCCAAAACACCCCTCCTAAAAGTCCTTACACTCAAGTCAATATTCTAACTCCATTAACAACAGACAGGGAAATGGCTAAGAACTGACGGGCCGATAGTGAAGAGCAGTACTTACTTTAAGGCTAAAGTCAATATGAAAAAGTTCAAACAATAAAGGCATGTCTATTTCAAATGACCGAGTCTTAGGAGAAAGTGCACCTTCATTTCCTGATAACAAGCAACACCTTCTATTCCAGATGATGAAAGTGTTTGCAGAATGTCAGCTGTTTGTTTGAAAACAACCAAAAAAGGGTTTCTTTTGTCAATAATATGCCATGGTTTTCTCGATGCTGCCTAAAGCATACTTATACAAACAATAAAATTACATGTTATTCAGAGTAATACCGCATTTGGAAGCTACTCTTCCAATGGCTAATCATAACTTCCGCGTGATGGGCCTATCTGAAATAGTCGTACATATAATTTAACAGCTTTAAGAATTCCAAGCTCCAGATTGTCAAAGATGGCATCATTAGAGGTTGATTCTTCGAGTCCAGTATCATACCTTCATTCTGCGAAGACATGAGAAGTAGGAAGTAAGAAACCAGAGAAAAAATTGGGATGGCAAACGATTCTTAGATTTCTCAGATGAAAGAAATTACTTGTCCAATCCAGCTGGGCTGATGGGAATCACACCAGATGGTGTTACAAGAGCATCGACTAAGACATCATTTGGAGTGAGAGGTATAATTCCTTCATCCATTATCTGTACTGAATAGGACAGTGCAACTGCAAAATCATGCCAATTGAGTTATGTGAAGATGCAGGGGAAACAGGGTGAGCTGAAAATGGAAACTAAAGGGAGGTTCTACAACAAAGTAGAGAGCTTACACACATACCAAGGAGGGGCTGCTTCCAATTCCGTGCCTTCGCAAGCTCTTGGTAGTTCTTTAGGAAGGTATCATAATAACTGTTTTCATAACAATTATAGGATAAGATTCATTTGCAATAGGATGTAGAAGATCATACAGATTGAATATGGGCAAAAATCTAAACAAGCAAAGAAAAAAATACATAGGGGAGTGATTTTACTATCATAATTAGGGAGTTACGTATCTAGCTTTAACTTCACAAATCAGCTCCAAATGAGCTAAAAGTGCATTAATAACACCAGAAGAAAGAAACCTCAAAAAGGTTAAATGCAAATCCATACCCTCCCCCTCGGCCTAGTCGTCTTCCTGATTTATCAAATGCTAGTCCTGGCAACAATCATCATCGACATATTAAAAAGTGATATCATGTTGCCTTCTAACCTATAAATAAACTGTAAACAACCGAAAATAGATATGAATATCTCACCTGGTAAGAGGAGTAAATCGATGGGGTCTTTTGTCTGCATAACTGCAAAACATCAATATATCAGCGGTGATACATTCAAGATGCAGAGATGGATTATGTCAAATCATTTCTTTGTTGAGAACAAACAAAAAGAAGAAAAAGGAGATCATATGGACAACAATGAAGTTTGATTAATATCAATTATCACCATATGTGTTCTGTTATAATATATGCCAAAGCAGACTAGTGGCTAAGTAGAGGGAAAACGCCATAAAAATTTATATTTGCTACCGCTATTAGCATGTATATCAAAGATAAAATTAATGGTACCACTCAGTTGAAAGGTCGAGAATGATTCACGCCTTCCTTATTTGAGCAAACACGTATGTCAGACCAATTATTTTCTCTCTTAAAACATACATGGTTTATTTGGTATCAGTAGAATAATGTATTCCATGAAAACTTAACAAGGCTGTAAAAGGAATTTAACAAAATAAGTTGAGGATTTTTGGTATCAAAAAACACTAAGAGAATAGACAATCCAGGAAAGCACTAGTGGTAGGTTGCGGAAATGGAGACAAGTCTTTAGGGGATGCAGGTATATGGAGTCTTTCAAAATGCAAAACACCAAAAGTTCATTTCTGGCTTTCGTTGAAGAATTAATAGATCTATTGACCATCCAAGACAATGAGGAATGGCCTGCCTTTTTGCTGGTGATAAACAAAAAATATTTCGGGTCCCCGATGGTAGAGGAACAATTGTCTAAAGTTATTTGCAAATCCATCCTAGCATTAGTTAAGAATTTAAGTTTTTATTGGTTCAATTTTAAGAATTTATTCTCTGAGTGCTATACATAATAAGTACATCATTATCCCAGTGCAATATATGGTAGATAATAGATTAACCATTGAAACCACAAGTACAATCATTGAGCTGACTGATAATAGAAAATGAAAGAAAAGAGAAGGGGTGAAGTATCTAGTTACCATCTTCACGTTGATTTCCATCACCATCCACTGGAGCTGGTTCTAAGATATTCATTGAATTTGCAATAAGATCATCCATACGTGAAATATTGAACATCCGCATATGACTATTCTTGTCCTCCACACGCGGGACATAAATCTTCTTCGGATAACCATCTTTATATAAAAAGAAACATGAAAACATTCACAAAGCTGCATAAAAGCATGCTAGCTACAAAAACATAACCTCCTATCATGAAACCAACATCAAGATCAAGAAATAACCCAGTCATAGTTAAATATCACGAGTAACAATACTTCCATACTATGCTATGCATTCAGATCCACCATATCAAATACTCTGTTTTGAACCAGTTCATAGTATAACGATCATTTTCTCCTAATCTAATTGGTTGAGCAGGTAACTAATTGTGTTTCTTTTATTTAACATAAAACTTCAAATATAAAATCTTCCATTGAGATTTACTGGCTTTTTTAAATGTTGCCAAACGGATCCATGAAACTTTAGATATCTCATTAGAATGGAGCAGTACGTGGGTAATGAGTTTAAGAACACACCTTTTGGTGGGTGTTGCAAAGTCTCTGATAACAGTCTCGACGTATCAACTTCTCTTAAGGCACTGCAACTCACATAAGCACATAATCTCTGACTAGATTTAAACCACGGGGCCTCCAAAACGATACTCTGAATTGCATTGTCTGAGAAACAAGTAGAAAGGGGCGATTCATCAACATCAGAAGACGACACACAATCAATTTTTCTATGAATCCGATTAATATTTTCAAAAGAGCGAAGTAAATCGTTGAAGATAAGCAAGCAATCAGTACCTTCATGGGATCTGAGGGAAGGGTCCATGGCTTTGAGTGCTTTTCGAACGTTGGATCGAAGAACCCGTTTCTGCTCAAATATGGGCTTCAATTGTTCTTCATTTCCTGATTTGATGCTCTCGTTACTCGCCATTTTCGGGGACCCAGATGAGCGACACGATAATGGAAGAAGTGTTTGTTGGAAAGGTGAAAGCGCGAGGCGATTGAACAACGAATTGGCCGCGCTTGACAATACTTTATAGTTTCGGATCATTGGGGCTTCAGAAATTGCCCACCTTCTGGCTTTTGGGCTTCGACCCACGTCCACTCCGGCTGGACTTCGATGATTCGCCAATCCAAACGCAGCCGAATTTTGACATCCATTCACAAGTAAATTTGTTGGTTTTCCTTGTAGGAGCCCAGATTTACTCATCAAAGCCAAAATTCTCCAACTCCGACCCTCCCAATCCCAAAACATTTAAACAACAACAATATGCTTCCAAAATTATAGAAAGATTGTGTAAGGTTGAGATTATTATCCTTTTTATGTATGATTTAAAAGCTTGTAATAAGATATAATTCAGATTCTCTAAATAAAGTTATATTCTTCTAATAAAGTTACTAGTAAATATTCTTTTAATATTATTTATTTATTTCATCTTAATAATTAATTATTTATATTTCTTCATCTTGACGTAGATATCTTTTACGAAAATATTGATAAACTTTCAATTTCAATAATAT